ATGGTCACTGAAGGAGGCAAACCATTCATCTAAATCTCGCAATAATCTGCGAAAAATCTTATTCATTAATCTATTATTATTGAATTAATCCCATTATGTGTAGATCGCTGGAGAACAACGAATATATTCCAACCGTTGAAACGAGTTGGAATGTTTTCTCTCTCCTCCTCCATTTTCTTTCTCACTCGCACTCGTTAAGTTTTGCGGAGGACGGGCACGTGTCAACGCGACGGAGACGAGAATGAGTGGGAGCGAGCGCGATACATATTCCTTTCTCACTCAGGGGGGGAATAAATATATATAATCGAACATTACTATAGTAAAAAAAAAACAAAATCTGCACAATTATTCAATAGAATCACTGGAAAACTAGAGTTTTCCAGCGACAGCGCTGGGATTTTCTATGAATTTTTTGACCTACGTGTCAATAATAAATATGTCGAGAAAAAGGAAAAGACTTTTAGATCATTAGATTCTGTATTCATTATACTATTGATTATAATATGTTCGATTTTATATTCCTGACAATTATTACAAAATGCGAGGAACTACCGTATTGAGAACCCCTTTCCGGTTATCGATAAATTTATGCTCTGGCCCTACCATACCAACAGTTCCGCACGCTCCATCGTAGTTCATGCGCCACCGCTACTAATTTTGCTGTTGAACACTTTACATTGGCCCTGCTCATCTCCCCTATAATCTCTGATCTGCCCGATATATTCTCTACAAACAATAATGCACGTATTTATATAGACAGGCAACAAAATATTGCTAAGTGATTGAATTAGTACAGCAATGTTATCAATACTTTCAAATCCTCTACGAACGTCGCTAAAGTATTTGAGTGTTGTGCGAAGCCTTCAGAATAGTCACCAACTTGGGAAAAATGCGTCTTTAACCTCAACAGTGTCAGACTTTTTTTTATTTCGACTTCAAAACCAGAAACAATTATCTCGCAGTCACAATCGATTCTACACTGTTGAGAAATTCGTATCTAGGGATCCAGACATCTTTGGTGACATCGGAGGTAATAAATTCGAGGAATTTCCTTTAGATCCCGATGAACGAGAACAAGAGCAATTTGAAAAAACTGAAGCAACAGTTCCAAGAAGACTAAAACTCTCTAAGGGTCAATATGCAGATTTGATAAAGGAACGTATTAGAAAAGGAGATTTAGAATCAGCAGTGAAAGTACTCAATTTAGTGAAGGACAATCGTGATCAGCCAACTACATATATGTACACTCTCCTATTAAGAGCATTCGCCGTCCAGGGAGATTTAAATACCACCTGGAAGTTGTTTACTTCGATGAAGAAGCGAGCACTGATGTTGAATGCTGCAACGTATGTGAGTGTCATTAATGCCTGCGCCAATTCCTCTGAACGAGAGATTGCTCTGGATCGTTTGGAGAGAATTAGGGAGGAAATTATCCTTAAGAACATAGTGTTAAACGAGGTGCATTACAATGCACTGGTAAAGGCATATGGGAGACACAAGTGTCTGCTGGAGGCGTTCAAAATAGTTGATCAGATGATTGATAAGAAGATGACAATTGGAAAGGCCACTTTCAATTCTTTGCTTTATGGTTGCATCTCTGACAGGGAAAATGGCCTGCGTCATGCTCTAGTAGTCTGGCACATGATGCAGAGGTGGAGGAAGAAGCCTGATTTATTGACATATAATCTCATGTTGAGGGCGATCAGAGACACTAAAATGGGAAACTTGAAAACGAATGATATTCTGCTACATAATTATGAGGCATCAAGGATTGTAATCAACGATTCATTCAGTCCTGATCTGCTGTCACATCCTCCTGTGGTCTCCAACATTCGTTTGCCCGTGAGGAATTCTGGACGATCTCAGATGACCTGTGTGGCTGCGACAAAAACACTGGCTATAGTTAAAGATAAGGGAGAGTGTGAGAATTTCAAGTTAGAGGAGATTCATGAGAAAAATAAATTCATCCTGTTCGGGGGGTTCAATGGATTCATGCAGAGACTTGAGGCTGATGGGATCCACCCCGATGCCAAAACTATGACGTTATTATTAGATGTTGTGCCTAATTCGGTAGCCATTGAACGTAAACTCATCAATACGGCAAGAACCAACAAGATTCCTTTAGATATCGACTTTTTCAATATGTTGATCAAGAAAAGGAGTTTCAGAAAGGATTATAAACAGGCTAAGGTAAGAAAATAAAGAGTAGTATATGTCATTACCCATAACAGAACACGATTTGTCATAAAAATGAATGGAGATCACTACAAACTTTGAAAACCATACATTCTACGTGAACTTGTGAGCTTTCAAACCTTATGGTCTAGGATTTGGCTCAGGATGGCTCTAACTATTCACCAGGTGAATATAAAATACCGTATATTTAATATTCACCTGGTCAATAGTTAGAGCCTCATTGCATCGGGTTGGCGATTAGCTCAAAAATACGTGCTTTTCATGTGCTTCTTTGTCTGCAGAAAAAAAATTCTGTCCAATATTTTGAGCAAAACGATTTTTGAATTTCGGGCGTTTGTCTAGGAGACCAATGGGGTCGAATGGGAATAATCAGTGTACAATAGTAAAGCGCAGAATTTCTCAATTTTCTGCAGGAAAATCATTTGATTTTTCTTTAATTTTCCCCGAATTTCCCAGGACGTCATATATGGTCAGGGGAGGGCAGGGATATATCAGTTGCCTCGAACTCTAGCCTCAGTGGATGTCTTCGGAGAAACGTGCTTCTCGTTGATGTCCATAAAAAACTTTCTCCTTTAACATTTTGATAGAAATTTGATTTTTAAATTTGGGACGTCTATCTAGCATGGCAGTGGGATCGAATGGGAATTATTAGTGTACAATAGTAAATAATTAAATATGTACTAATTTTCTGCAGGAAAATAGATTGATTTTTCCAGGATTTTCTCCGAATTTCCTAGGAGGTCACATATAATCAGATAAGGGCAAGAATATATCAGGTTACTCGGACCTTATCAGTGGATGCCTTCGGGGAGACATGCTGAATTTTAAAATGAACCAAAAATTCTCTGCTTCATTCAGCAATTTTTCTCCTTGACTACAAAGCATCTGGATTGTTATTGTTCTGAATAGTTCCATTCAAGATTGTTTCCATGGGCCCCATAATGAATCAATACTTTCAAAGTATGTAAATTTTCTGCGTAACTACAAAGCGCCGGAGTCTTCACCGTCGGCATGAAAATGAGTCGATACTGTCAAGGTATCATGTGCTCCAATTTAAGGCGCATTAGAAACTTTCTGCTTGACTATTATGTGCCTGAGTCTTCATTGATCGATATTACCCAATTCAAGAAGGCTTCTATAGGCTCCAAGATGAGTCAATGCCTTTGAGAAATTATGTTCTCCAATTAAAGGACCATTAGAACTTTTACTTCCGAATGGAAGCTTTGTAACGGTTCATTTTTACGATCTTCTAATTTTGCTTGGAAATTATGTAGAATGTCATGAAACGTCAAGATATGATGTTTTTAGAAAATGTGTGCATGTCAATGTGTGGGTTCGGATTTTTCGGAATTTTTTTCTAAATCTTCACAAAAAGGGAGTAAAGTCGATGCGAAAAATCTGAAATTTTGTGAAATAATTGACATTATTTGGGAGCACATCTGGGTGAAATTTCCGCTCAATCGGTCAAGTCATTTTTGAGATACAGCGATATCTCGAAAATTTTCTTGCTCAATTATCTCAAAAAGTAAGCGATTGAATGTATTTTTTTTTTTTTTTGAGGCGGTTATCTAGCAGACCAATGGGGTCGAATGAGCATAATTAGTGCACTGTAGTAAAGAACTAAATATGTGCTAATTTTCTGCAAGGAAATGTCTTGATTTTTCCTTAATTTTCCCTGAATTTTTCAGGACGTCAACTATGGTTAGTGGAGGGTAGGGGTATATCAGATTTCTCGGAGCTTGGCGACAGTGGGTATTTTTGTTACTCATCTGAATAATTGAATTCAAGACGGCTTCCATGGGATTCAAGAATTTTCAGAACAAATTTAACATAATTGATGAAAGAAGAAATATAATTCAATTTAAAAATGATATAAATCGATGAATTACATACCAGAGACGAATATGATGTGCAAAGTGACCATTTGGAAGTATGCTGCTAGTATCTTAGCAAAAAGGGCTATGCTATACAAAGCGAAAGTAATTGCCCACATGGGTTTCTATAGAAGGATTCTAAGTTCGAGGCATATGGATGACTACTCCACCGATTAGAAAAAAGAATTCAGAATACTTATCTTGAATTGCACTACGTGGCCTTGATTCTTAATGCAGAACTATCGCTTGGTTGATACACAACATTTGATGAGTTAGACATACTTTAATCGTTTAATCGAGTGATTTCCGGAGGTATTTCCAGTGGAATGATTAAAAAAACCGGTCTTGCATTTGTTCTTATATCTCAATGATTGAATCCCTAATATTCCTAGTAATTGTATCTCGTCATAAGAATAAAAAAAAATTAATCTCGATAATTACGGATAAATCCTTAAAAACGAAGTTTTATTTCTTTATGTATTCTAAGATTTTTCCAACCTGGCGATCACTTGATTCGTTCCTCGAAGGTGTTCATTTTTAACCGCACGATTTTAATGTGATTTTAGTTATTTCGATTGCTAACTCATTAACAGTGACACAGGTAACGATTAGTATGAATCAAGATTTCCTTTGTACATTGCTACTCATTATATTGAAAAGTCAATTCTTGATAATGCTCTCCATTCAAAGGGATAAAACAACCTGGACGCATGATTTATTCACACCAAAATGAAATGGATCATCCCTGTGGAAGGAGAAAAAAATGCCCCCAATTGAGAAGATTATTTCTTGAAACTATTGACTCATCCAGAACAGCAGAAATTTTCAAGCGGAAAATTTCTAATGGGCTTTAAATTGAGGCACATGCAACCTTGAAAATATTCACTCGTTTTGAGGCCCATGGAAGTCATCTTGAATTGAACTATGCAGATCAATGACACCTCAGGCGCTTTGTAAAGAAAAACAAGCAGGGTTGCGAGCCTATTCTACAGAAGCGACAGACCGTCATTTTATTCGTTAGTGGTCCTTTTGATTTTTCCTCTCTCTACCAATTTCATTGGTAATAAGCTTCCGAAGGGATTTGTGGCAATGGTTCTATGATAAATTCCCCTGAAAATCCTCCTTGGATAATCTATATTTCTTTCGACACCGATTTCATTTATTATTTTCATCGTTATTTTCATTTGTTGAATGATAAGTTTTTTGTTATTTCTAAGATTATTCTTTTGCAGTGTCCTTCTTTCGCACTTCAATTTTCCCATGATGGCCTTTACACTATGGCCTAATTTATTATTCTTCATACCAAGAGATAGTATATCTATAATCACACCTGTGAAACTAATGTAAATACCATTTTTATTTCTTTGTTCATCAATTTTTTCAATAGTCTCACTTTACTGGAAAGTGTTCAATGTTATTAATCCCTATCCACCTGCATGGTGGATAGCAAGAGCACGATTGGGAAGTATGAAAAAGAGCATTCGTTCTCAGATAATCTGACCCTTAAAGCTCCTGAAATGTAGACATCCATGATTGTTACAAAATTTAACCCTCAAAATGTATGCGAGCCTCTAGACATTTGTGTCTGTCACAATATCAAACACTGCCATGATATCAAGCACAAAAGAACATAATTTTATGGTAGAAGACTTCTTAAGTCATACAGATTCGAAAATCATTGATAGAATGACGACGTTTCATTTTTCGACAAAAACTATTTTCAGATAAATTGCCCTGTGCCAAAATGTATTGAATCGATCAGCTCAAAATTTTATTTATTAATGTGACTGAATGGAATGAACTATTACCCCAAAATTTGAATTATATTTCCACCTTCTACGTGTATTGTGCAACATTGAATCAACTCTGAGATGAAAAAATTATAAAAACGCGCATATTTCTAAAACTTTGTATGAACGGGTATTCATATTTTGATTGACCTCGATAGTGTAATTCCGGAACGAAATGTGGTTGTAGGAAATTTTACGGAACTGTCACGTAATTTTTACCTAAAATCACAGAATTTTTCCAGAACGTTCCGTAATTTTTACCTGAATCTCCTGTGAAAAATTACTATACCGTCACTTAAATTTCCTGAGTCGATTCCGTAATCAGTGAGCGAACTGTCAGTTCCGTAATTTTTGCTGAACATTTCTCTCCGTGGAGACGAGGATTTTGAAAAAAAAAAATTCGTTCCGACCAGTAGTTTAGGAGATATTGAGCAAAGCATATTTTTACAAAAAGTTAAATATCTCCTAAACTACTCGTCCGATTTCACCCCTCCTCAATACCAGCCTGTAATACTATAAGAGTTACAATCGTACCAAATTTGAGCTTTCTATTTCAATTTTTTCGATAGTTATTGTGCCTACACCGATTTTATGACAAAAATGGAAAGTAGTTGAAACTGGTTGAGTAGAAACATTAATAACTTGATTTGATAGATATTATCATAAGGAATATTTTGACGTCAAAAGAATTCAATTTTCTACTACCATATGGAAGCAGGATTTCTAATGGACTTCAAATAGAACCACATGTTTTTCCGAACATATTCACTGATGCTAGGGTCCGACACTGATAAAACAGTCCGATTATTTCCGACTGTGTGATAAAAAATGAATCGGCGTTAATGATTTTTGGCTAGTAGGTAGAGTTTGGAGTTTGAGAAAATTATGAGAATTAATAGGACCAAAGGTATGTGGCCGTTATCGTCCGATTACTTTCCAAAAAAGTGGTCGATAGATCTTATATTGCTCCTATAAATCTTTAATATTTATTGCTCATTTGAATATTTATATACGTAATATGAGATCTATCAACCACTTTTTTGGAAAGTAATCGGATGATAACGGCCACATACCCTTGTTCCCATTAATTCTCATAATTTTCTCAAACTCCAAACTCTACCTACCAATCAATCGGAATTTAACGGGCAAAGACAGAAACATCATTAACGCCGAGCCGATTCATTTTTTATCACCCAGTCGGAAGTAATCGGACTGTTTTACCAGTGGTGAAACCTGATATACCCCTACCCTCACTGGTCCAGATTTGACGTCCTGGGAATTTTGGGGAAAATTCAGGAAAAATAGAATTATTGTTCTGCAGAAAATTAGT